CCATTTAAAGTCTACTCTCCTAGCACTTTCAAGTATACAATAGAGCTTTACTAACTATAATCAGCGTGCTGTACATAAGACTCCTAGAACCTGTTTATTTTACCACTGGAAGTTTGTGCTCTTTGAGCAACATTTCCTCATTCCCCCTACCCCTCAACTCCCGGTAATTACCGTCCTGCTTTCTGTTTCTATGCATTGGCTTTTTTTGTACTCCACATGTAAGTGATATCATATAGCATAGGTCCCCCAAGCTCTGAGATCTAATGCCTGATGCTGAGGTGGAGTTGATGTAATAATAGAAATAACATGCACAAAAAATGTAATGTGCTTGAATCATTCTGAAATGATCCCCCAGCCCCCATCTGTGGAAAAATTGTCTTCCATGAAACCAGTCCCTGGTGCTAAAAAAGGTTGGGGCCACTATCGTATAGTATGTATCTTTGCCTGTCTGATTCATTTCAGTTAGCATAATGCCATCAAAGTCCATCCACCTTTTTTTTTTTGCAAATGGTAAGATTTCTTTCTTTTGCATAGCTGAATAATATTTCATCTTTCTGTCTCACATCCTCTTTACATCTTTATCCATTCATCCATTGATGGACACTTAGGTTGTTTCCAAGTCTTAGCTATTGTGAATAATGCTGTAAAAAACACGAGAATGTAGAAATTGCTAGGTATTCTTAATCAGATTAAGGCGGTTCCCTTGTGTTCATAGTGCAATAGTTTACAAATATAAGCTGATGGCAAATATTATTAAATTATTTTTCTATATCTATTGAGATAATCAGGAGTTTTCCCTTTGATATGTTAATATGGCACACAATGTAGATTTTTTAAAACTTTAAAAACTGATGTATTACATGCAAAGACATGTGCAAGTCATAAGTGTATTGCTTAATCATGTCTAAAAAATTGGACATACCCACGTATCTAGCAGTTAGATCAGAAAACAAAACATTGCTTGCACCCTAGAAGCTCCTGCGCACTTCCATTTATAGATTTATAATGTTAAATAACCTTTACTTCTCTGGGGCCAACAAAACTTAGTCATGGTGTGTCATCTTTTTTCACATACTGCTGGATTTGGTTTGCTAAAACTTTGCTTAGGATTTTTGCATCTCTTCGTAAGTGTGACTGGTCTGACATTCTCCTTTTGGTTCTGGTTTTAATCTCAGGATGAGTTGGGAACTGTATCTCTTTTTCTATTCTGTGGAAGAATTTGATGTGTGAATGGAGTCCCAGAGCTTTTGGGGGCAATAATAAAAAGATTTAACTTTTGTACCATTGAAATACCAGAAGCAGAGGAAAAGAAAACATGGACTGAAAAAAAAATTGAAACAATAATGGCTGACGAAGCTGAGTGAACTCAAAGTAGGATCAGTCTAAACAAATTCACACTAAGATACATATTAAACTTGCAAAAACTGACGACAAAGTAAAAAATATCTTTACAACCTAGAGGGGTGTGTTGGGGAGGGAGGTGAGAGGGGGTATCAAGAGGGAGGGGACATAGGTATACCTATGGCTGATTCACAGCAGAAATCAATACAGTACATAAAGCAATTATCCTTCAATTTAAAAAAATCCAGACAAACAACCCATTTCCTATTCAGGATCTTTTTTTTTTTTTTTTGCCACGAGGCATGGGGGATCTTAGTTCCCTGACTAGGGATTGACCCCTGCCTCTTGCAGTGGAAACTCAGAGTCTTAACCACTGGATCACCAGGGAAATCCCAGAAACTCTAATTTAAATGACAGTAGATTTTGTACCTGAAAATTTGGAAGTGGTGTATTTTTCAAGTGCTGAAAGGAAAGAACTGTCAACTAAGAATTCTAATCTGGCAGATTTATCCTTTGGGAATGAAAGGGGAATCAGGAAATTCTCTGATGAAGGAAAACTATGAGAATTTGCTGCTAGCTGACCTTTCAAAGACTGGCCAAAGAGAAGAAGGTCCAGTTCATCCTCTTCCATTGCTTAGGCTTGGTGTCATATCTAAAATCTAACCAAATTTAAAATAAAATAAAAATAATAAATAAAAATAAAATAAATCCAACAGAGTATGTTCTCTGACAATAATATAGTCACAGTATAAATCAGCAACAGAAAGACAACAAGAAAGTCTCTGAAACATTTAGAAAATAAATAACATATTTATGAATAATCTATGGCCAGAAGTGAAGTCGCAAAGGAAATTTTTAAAAAATTGAATTAAATACTGAATTAAAAAACCTCCAACCATTTGTAGAATGTAGCTTATGTAATGCTGAGAAGGGTACTTATGCAACAAAATGCTTATATTAGCAAAGAGGAAACATCACCTCAAATTAATAATCTAAGATTCTATCACAAGAAACTAGAAAAATGACAGCAAAAAGAATCCAACTCAAAGCAGAAGAAAGAATTAATAAAAATAAGAGCACCCACGATCCTTACACTAGGTTCCATGAATGGATGGCTTGGACCTGAGCCACTGGGAAGGGCAGGGATGAGTCTGGAGGGTCAGATTTGGTTTTGTGAGTGTGAGGTGGATGGGAACAAGGAGATGGGATGACTCTGAGGGTCCCAGTCTTTTCTCTTCACCTGGGGGTTGCAGGCAGATGGAACAGTTCTTTGGTGTTCTGCCCTGGGAAATATGTCTTCATGCTCCACTGTTCCCTCAGAAAAAAGGTTTGCTCTGCTGGGAAGGACACCCAGCACAGGGCTCTCAGCCTGGAGGAGCTGGGAAAGTAGCCTGGAGCTCTGCTCAGCCTGCAGTACTGAGTACTGCTCAGTACTCAGTAGCCTGAGTACCCTGGGGAGCTCAGCTGGGGCTCAGGGAACAGAAGGCTGTGCTCAGGTGGTGCTCCAGGCTCAGTGATGGATGGCTGTGTTTCCAAGGTCAGGCACCAAGGTTCAGAAGGTTAATCATGAAATATTCCCTTAATGTTGCAGGCAGGACAGTTGCCTGACTCTCAGGGGTGGGGAGACTCCCTGAGATGCCAAAGTAAGTTCTCAGCCTCCCCAGGGGCTGTGGTCAGCAGCAGTGTGGCAAGTTGTAAAAGACGTGCCAGCAAGTACTGTCCAGACACATGCAAAAGGTTCACGACTTATAAATTAGAGCAAAGCAGGCTATCCCTTAAACGTTCTGCCTCGTTGCATCTTTTTCAAAGAAAGAATAGAAATGGGCGGGATTTCCAGTCATTCCTTTTCATTGGGTCCTTTCTGTGCAGCCCCTGGAGTGAGCACAGTGAAGACCCTATCCATGGTGCTGACCAACACTAGCTACCCAAAGGAGCTGCATCTGCTTTCTTTACATTCTTAACACAGCGTTCTAACAAGGAGGAGGTGGAGAGGGCTTCAGGGAGTGTTTACTGGCTTCTGTCTCCATGCCTAAAGGACAGTGAGGGTGGTGTGCACATCAAATCATGAACTAACCCCACAGTCAGGAAGACCAATTCCAGATTGCCCATGAGTAGGAGTTTTGTAGCTCAATCGGTAGAGAATTTCCCTGCAATGCAGGAGACCTGGGTTTGATTCCTGGGTTGGGAAGACCCCCTGGAGAAGGAAATGGCAACCCACTCCAGTATTCTTGCCTGGAGAATCCCATGGACAGAAGAGCCTGGTAGGTTCCCAGTCAATGGGGTCGCAAGAATCAGACACAACTTAGCGACTAAACCACTATGAGTAGTTTGCAGTGAGAGAAGATGATGACCACAACCTTGAGAGATGTGATAGAGAGAACAGCGGCCCCTCAAAGTTGACCACATATTTTTAAAAATTGTATTTATTTGGCTGCATTGAGTCTTGTTGAAACATGCAGGATCTTTTGTTGCAGTGCACAGACTCTCTAGTTGTGGTGTGTGGGTTTAGTAGTTGTGGCATGCAGGCTTAGGTGGCTTAAGTGGGAATCTCTGCAGATGTCCCAAGATAAAGGGAAATTATAAATTAAGGATCATGTGATTAGGAGATTATGGTGAGTTATCTGGCTGGGCCCAATATAATCACAAGGGTGGCCCTTATAAAGAAAAAGGAAGGCAGGAGAGGCAGAGCCAGAGAAAGAGATGTGATGATGGAAGCAGAACCTGACTTTAAGATACTCCACTGCTGACTTTTGAAGATGGAGGAAGGGGCCACAAGCCAAGGAAAACAGGTAGCCTCTCACAGCTTGGAAAGGCAAGGAAACAAACTCCCTCCTAGACCATCCAGAAAGAACAGAGCTGTGTTGACATCTTGATTTGTGTTGTTTTATACCACAGGTTTGTGATAAGTTGCTACAGCAGCAATAGGAAACAACAAGAAGTGTCACTTTCTCTAACCCAACATTGTGTGCATACGAGATAAGGAGTATCTTAGAGCCAAATCATGATGTGAAACTTAGCAGGTTTTGTAACTGTCTCTTATCTCATAACAAACAACACTCAGGCAATGGCTGAACATCCTCCTGAACTCTGGGCTCTGTGCCTTAGTGCACAGACCACTTTTGTTTGGGTGAAATGTGGCTAAACTGACCCATGTGAACTTACATGGGAAGCTCACCCTCCCCAGGTGACCTCAGTTCTTCAGGTGTGTGGAGGGGGCGGCAGATGAGGCCCAGGTGGGAGGAGGCCTGAGGGCCACATTGAGGAGGAGACAGTTTGTCCCACTGCTGTGGAACCTGGGTGAGTTTTAGGTGGGAGGAGCCCATGTGCACAGAAAGAGCAAACGAGAGGAAAGTCCTCTTTATTCAGGCCTCTCAGGTGGTCCACAGCCCACCTCTCAGCGGGTCACAGGCCCAGCCACTTCCCTTGGAAGCCCTCAGTTCCTCAGGGAATGGAAGTCCTTGCCTTCATCCATCCGGGGCTCAGAGCAGCCTTGTCAGGGCCTCCAGAAGGCCAGGAGGGACACCAAGGCTGAGCCCAGGTCCCCCAGCATCTTCACAGGTCGCAGCTGTTTCTCTGCTTCAGGTTTCTGACCTCACTCAGACTCTGGGTCTCAGGCGGGCTCTTCTCCACAGCCCTTAGGGGGAAGTTCCTGGAGCAAACTAAGAAACCACATCTACTTTGGGGTGGATCTGGCAGTAGATATCTGTGTTGGGATACAGTAATTCCTGTAAAGAAAGAAGAGGCCTTTGAGCCCCTATAAACTTCTCAGAACAGGTCCCAGGATCTCCCTGGCCCGGGGTCCACAGAGGTGCTTTGTGGGGAGCCTGGCTGTACTGGAGGCTTTCTGGCCCCAGATGCATCACTCCTCTTCACCCATTTTCCCATTTTTGCTGCTGTTTCCTGGACCTCAAGAATGTGCCCTTAGAAGTGCAGGATCAGACCATTCATCCCCAACACTCACCTCATAGAGGGGAACAATTGGCCTGGGGCTGGGTAGGGAGGCCTGGGCAGGAGAGAAAGTGGGCATCAGGAGGGCAGGGAGAGAGTCATTTCTCCTCAGAAGTGACCAGCCCTGCCTCCCAAGCAGCCACCTCCAAGCCTGAAGCCCTCACTTCAGTCCCCATCTGGGCTGTATGCCACACCTTCGATAGCCCGAGACCCCTGTCTGAAGCGCCGAGTGCCCACTCTATTCCTAGCTGGACTCCAGGGTTAATTGTGAAGGGATCAGGCAGGCTCAGCGCAGGGTGTGGGGGTGTCCTGCCCATGAAGTGAGTCCCAGTCCTGACCAGGAAGGGGTTCATGTTGGTGGCTACCTTGGAGTGAAGGGTGTCTGTGCTGTGAAGTGTTGGACAGTCCCACTGCCCTGAGTCTGCATAGCTGGGACCACAGGGAGAAGAGACAAGGAAAGGATGTGCTTACCGGGGAGACAGAGCTGCCAGAGGGACCATGTCCTAGGAGCAGAGACAGCAGTTAGCACCAGAGGTGTGAGGACGTTTAGCCCATCCTCCCAGGAGAGGCTGGGGGTCCTCAGCTTCCAGAGAACCATGGGAGAAGGGGCATCACCCAGGGAGGGACCTTCTGGGCATTTAGGGTCCAGTGAGGTGACCCATGACTCAGAACTCATACATCTAGCAGGCCAGTCAGTGCGGATCCCCTGTGATGAAGCCCCAGGGCGGTGGCTGGCTGGAGCAGAGACGAGGATAGGAACAGGGTGTCCTAGCTGCTCGCGGGCTGAGAAGACACTCACCCAGGGTGGCAGCTGGAGGCTGCTGCTCTCTGAGGTCATTCTGTCCACTGGCCCTAGGAAAGGTTAAGATTATTTCTGAGGGTTGCAGGAGGCAGGAGGAGGTCACAGCTTTGGTGTCAAAATAGGGAACAAGGAGGGTTCCCTTTTCTAAACAGGGAGTGTGTACCTATGTGGTCAGATGCACAGTCGCGTCCAACTCTTTGCGATCTCGTGGACTGTGGCCCTCCAGGCTTCTCTGTCCATGGGGTTCTCCAGGCAAGAATACTGGAGTGGGTTGCCATTTCCTTCTCCAGGGGATCTTCCCGACACAGGGATTAAACCCACATCTTCTGCATTGCAGGCGGATTCTTTACCACTGAGCCACCAGGGAAAATGGGGAGACAGTGGGGAGTTAACTGTGTCTAATTTACAGATGAAGAAGGTGTTGGGAAGCCACCCCAGGTCAGCATCTGGTGAAGGAGGGGCTGGCGGATGAGAGGGAATGTCTTTGGGGGGAGTGGGGAGGCTGTGGAGAGCCAGGTCCAGAATCCAAGGATAGGGTGTCTTTCTTCCTGGCTTGGCATCAGCCTGGGGGACAGGATTAGCATCGGGCATTGCCATTTGTACCTTCTAGTCATCTTGAGGAAAACAAAACACCCCAGAGTGGTCACCAGTGCCAACCTAACCAGGATCCCAGTCATGATGGCGATAACAATCTCGTTATTGAGGGCTGGGCTGTTTTCTTGGCCTGAAAGCAGAAGATAAAGGGGGAGATGAAGGCCTGAGTTCACCTGACCAGAAAAACCGCAAGAAGTCCTACGGGGGAGAGGGCCTGGTTAGGGAGGAAGGAAACGCGTTGAGGTCTGTGTGTGGTCGTGTGTTTTGTCATCACAGTGTCTTCCCAACTCTCCTGCTGCAGGCGATTGCATCTCTCTCTCCCTCTTTTTTTAATCACATTTGAAACCTCGGACTTCCTCTAACTCGGCATTCTCTCACTGTAGCCAGCTCCATGTCCTATTCATGTTCCTGTTAAGGACTCTTTCCTCTTACATTATGCCCCCTCCCCTTGTTTTTCCTTCCCATCCCTATTGCCAGTCTTAGAGAGAAGGTCTGCTCAACGCCTGATGAGTAATAGTAATATTAGCCGACTGTTTCCAGTTCATTCTGTGTGGCTGGCACTGTGGGAGAATCCTTTAGGCCCATCTGTTCTGATCCTCCCCTTCCCATGACGGAGCGGGTGTCGTCCTTGCTGTGTGTACATACGTCTGAGACCCATGGCGCTTAAATAAACCAACGGAGTTCACACAACTGGGCTTCGCTGATGGCTCAGACAATAAATAATCTGCCTGCAATTCAGGAGACCCGGGTTTGATCCTTGGGTTGGGAAAGATCCCCTGGAGGAGGGCATGGCAATTCATTTCAGTATTCTTGCCTGGAAAATTCCATGGACAGAGGAGGCTGGTGGGCTACAGTCCATGGGGTCGCAAAGAGTCGGACACAACTGAGCGACTGAGCACATAGCAAATCACATCTGGTAAGAGATTAATATCCATTTCTTTAACAACAACAAAAGGCACTCGACCCTGGGGCCCCTTCTTTGTTTCCTATCTCCCTCTACATGAGGCTGTCAGGGTCTGAGAGAATCCCCTCCCCACATTCCAGGTTGGACCCAAGGTCTGCCAGGAGAAATCAGACAGCAGGAGGAAGAAGGGTCTGCTGAGATGTAGTGGGAGGGTTCAGGGGCTGATTTGGAATTTGTTTGTAACTTCTGGGAAGTTGGGAGGTAACTTCTTTCAGATTCTTTTCTGAAAACCTACAGGCTCTACCACAAAACTTGGTACTGATGGACCAGGGGCCACTTACCAGAGACTGTGATAGCCTTGGCTGTGGTTTTACTGGGATCAGTGACAAAGTTATGGACAAGGCAGTTACAGGATCAACTCTTATCTGCAGTGATGTTGGGGATAAAGAGTTCCTGTATGGATTGTGGGGGCCTCCCGGTGATAAACCAGGGACACATTGTGGCTGGGGTTAGAGCTGTGTGGTGGGAGAGGCTGAGGTTTGCCTCTGGATGGTAACAGGAGTCTGAGGGGAAGTGGTGGGGTGTCTGGGCCATCTGAAGCAAAGAGCATAAAGCCACACATGGTACAATCAGAGGGAAGGGAAATTCCTGGTCTGTATTAGGGCCACAACGTCCTTCTGTCTGGATCATAGCCTTGTTGTAGAAAGTCTCAACCATTACCTCTCATGTTCACTCATCCTGAGTCTAAGACATTAACCTGTTTCTTCCATCACAGGCTGGTGACCCTGAGCCTCTCAAGACAGAGCAGTCCATCCCCTCCTAGTCTTGATTCAAGGTGGGCCTGCCTGGGCTTGCCTGGGATAGGAAGTCATGGCCAGCCTGGGTGTCCCAGGGTGAGGGTCCTTGCTCTTGGACCTGAGAGGGATGGGTACGGCCTGGCCTCCGGCACTGTAGATTCAGCCAGGAGGCCTGGGCCATGTAGGAACAGAGGTTACTCACAGAGGCCATTCAGGTTGATTGGGTCACCATGGATGATATTCTCTGGATTCCTGGCTTCACACACATAGGGTCCTGTGTCATTCCTTGTCACATTGAACACAGTGAGAGTCCTGTTTCTCTTGCACAGTTCCAGCCTGGTGCTGTTGTGGAGGCTCTGATTGTTGATCGAATACATGTAGAAGATGTCCTGAGTCTCAAATCTACACGTTAACACCAGTGTCCTCGTGCTCCCAGGGGCTGGAGTTGTTGCTGGTGATGACGGGTGTGGGTAGCACCGCTGTGCAGATAACAGAGAGAACATTGCCCCTTTTCCACCTTTGGCTTCTCTAAAAGCATCTTCAATCATGATTGGCATCTCTCACCTCTCAGCCAGACTGAGCCCTTAAAGAATAAGGCAGGTCTGTGTATCGAAGACAAATGCATAGGGAGCTGAGCTCAGAGAGTGTGAGGCCACCTGCTCTATGTCTAGGAGAAGCACAGGCTCCCTCGGGGGTTGACTGTGCAGTTGCGTTTAGTGGTGGACAGGACAGGGAGGGATTCAGAGACCACCTGGTGTCTCCTGGTTTTCATCAACCAGCCTCGGGAGACAGCTCCCTGGGTGGCACCCCGGGGATGAGGAGCTTCTAGGAGTGTCTTCCTTCCTTCGTTCCTCCCTGGGGATGCTGAGACTTCTCTGGAGTCTCCAAGTCCCCCAGGGCAGCTGACTGACCGCCTGGGGACCTTGTGCCCCTGTGATCTCCATGCTGAGTCTCAGGAGCAGGACCAGGCTGTCCCCCTGCCTGGTTGTGGCTCTCAGGGCTGAGCTCTGGCTGGCGACCAGCTTGGAGCATAGGGATTTGGCTCAGTGTCACTGGAGGCAGGAGTCCTGGGACAGGGTCTAGAGAAGGGCTTCCTGGGGCTGAGTTTCTCTGTGAGGATCCCTGGGGGCCCTCAGGCCAGGGTCTTCCCTGAGTCCTGAAGGGTCTTCCTCAGGGTCATGGTCCTGGGGAGGGACCCAGGGCACTGGACTGAGAGTGCTCTCCCTCTGCTGAGTCCCTCCATCAGACCATCCTTCCTGCACAGGGTGTCTGCAGGGTCTGGCTTCCTGGAAAGCATTTCTGACCCTTTGGAGTTTGTCTCCACAGCGTGGGTCCTGCACTAAATGTTCAAACCCCAACACTGGACATAATGCAGAGGAGGATGGAGGCACCATCCGGGTCTGTCAGTCCTGTGTGCGTGAACAGAACTTACCCCGATCCGTAGCTCAGTTGGTAAAGAATCCGCCTGCAATGCAGGAGACCCTGGTTTGATTCCTGGATCAGAAAGATCTGCTGGAGAAGGGATAGGTTACCCACTCCAGTTATCTTGGGCTTCCTTGGTGGCTCAGCTGGTAAAGAATCTGCCTACAATGTGGGAGACCTGGGTTTGATTCCTGAGTTGGGAAGATCCACTGGAGAAGTGAAAGGGTACCCACTCCAGTATTCTGGCCTGGAGAATTTCATGGACTGTATAGTCCATGGGGTCACAAAGAGTCGGACACGACCGAGCGACTTTCACTTTCACTTTCCCACGCAATACCCCGAGGTCAGAGAGGAAGCACTCATGGTATATGCAGAGATGCCCAGTTTGTCTTTCTGTCTGTAAATTATCGTTTGTAACGAGCAGCGTGTAGGATCCTGTGTCTTTCTGGGTGACAGTCTGGATGAGCAGGGTTCCATTGGGGTAAAGTGTCTCTCTTCCGCTGTGTGCAGACCCTTTGGTAGTTACATTAGTGTCTACTCTGTATGATGCAATTAACTGGATGTTTTCTACCCTTTCTCCTCTGTACCAGGCATAGCCTAGACTATTCTCTGTCATGTTGTGGGCAAGTAGAAGAACATCTGTCCCTTCTGCAGCAAGGGGGAGCACCGTGTCAACACTGAGGCGGGCAGTGGTGGGCAGGGGCCAGAAAGTTAACAGTGAGACTAGTAAAAAAAAAAAAAAAGAGTGAGACTAGGAGGGAAGAGAGAGAAATCAGTTAATATTCTGACCTGTGTGTGGCGATGGGAAAATGGTGCCCTGGGTCCTGAGCAGGTCTCTTCATCCCTCAGCCTTGGTGGGTGTTTTTATACTCTGTGAGGCTGTGTGTGTGTGTATGTGTGTGTCTGTGTCTGTATGTGTGTGTGTGTGTCTCTCTGTGGGTGTATATGTGTGTATGTGTATATGTGTGTATGTGTCTGTGTGTGTATATGTGTCTGTGTGTATGTGTATCTGTGTCTGTGTCTGTGTATATGTGTGTGTATGTGTCTGTGTGTGTATGTGTGTGTGTGCATGCGTGCGTGTGTATGTGTTTGTGTGTATGTGTATATATGTCCTCCTGGTTCAAGGTCAGCAGCATGACCCCCATCACTTCAGCCCCTCTGGGCTCTGTATTTCCTCTGTTTCCCCAGCTGTCCCCCGGCTCACTCCCTCGCTGCCCTCACACGCCTGCTCTCACTCAGGGGCCTCTTGGGAGCTGTCCCCCCACAACGAACGGCTGCTGTGAAGACCCTCCGTGTTCACTTGCTGACCCTTCCCTGTCTGGTTCCTGCATGACGCCTGTCAGCGCCTGTCAGCACATTCTAGATCTCTCTGCTTGTCTGTCTTCCTCCCCACAGAGCGTGGGCTCCGTGAGGGCAGGGGCTTGTCTGATCCTGGTTACACCCCAGGGCCTGGACCAGGCTCCAGGTATTAATAGCTGGGGATGAAGGAAGGAGTGTTCCCAGGAATCCCACAGCCTGGTGTTTGTCAGTTTCTAAGGGTGCCGGGTAAGAACCATGTTTGCTGTCTTGGTTATGTCTTTTTCTGTGGTGACACAATAAAATGTTATTATTGCCATCAGTTTTCAACAATTACTGCTCAGTGAAGAATAACTCACAAAACCATCACCATTTGAGGTCTTCCCGCCCCTCACTGACTCTAGTTCATGGAGAGTCCCCTGTGGCTGACCCCCAACCCTCCCTGCTCCCCGCTCTCTGCCCTCAGGCCTGAACAGAAGTCCTCTGCCCCCTCTCAGAGCCCCGCCTCCCCCAGAGACCAGCCAGTCTTTTGTTCTCCAGTCTCTGCCCTCTCCCTGAAAACTGTCACCTCTCACCTGCCAGGAGGAGCCTGTTCCAGGGGACATGCCTCCTGCTTGCAGGGCCTGACGGGGGCTCCATGGGGCCTGCTCTCTGCTGGCCCCTCTCTCTGTGAGGAGAACTTCCGGTCCAGAAACGCTCACAGGTCCTGCAGTCGCTGTGTGAGCTCTGCTGTCCTTCCCGCTGTGCGCTGGGCCTCCTCCCTGGGCAGGAGCACTTGGCTGGGTCACGTGGCCGGGGGCGGGGCCTCTGCCAGGCCCCTCCCACTGCCTCCCCGCTCATCCTTCCCTCCCTAGCGGCCCCGCCCCCTTCCCCTTCTGTCTGTGTTTCTATTCTCTGAGCTCTGCTGAGTCCTCTGCCTTCTAGAGCAGTGATTCTCCACCCAGACACACACAGCCACACACACATCCCTACACACACATACCTATACATACAGCTACACACAGACACCTACACACACCTACATACACACACCGATACACACACATGCACACACATGCATACACACACACACCCTTGTCTGGAAAAGCACAGCCTTGGGGTGTCCGGGTCTGGGACCCCCATGATCTGGATCAGATGCACACTCAGCCTCCCCGACTGCCCTCCCTCATCCCCTTCTGGCTTTTCTCTTCAGAGCAGGAGCCTGGGGGTGGGGGGTGCGTCAGGAACTCTTGTCACAGGGACATCATCCCCGCAGTGCGAGGGAATCACCTGTGGAACTTCATGAAGACTGAGAACCGGCAGGTGACACCTTAGAAATGCTGTTTCAGCAGCCGCCCAGGTCACGTGCTTGCCCAGCCTGACTGAGACCCCAGAACCCCGGTTAGGCTGCCCCACCCACCCCAGTGATGGCTTCTGCTGTGTTTTCATCTGGGGTCTCTCAGCACAACGCACAGATTCAAACTTTCCAAATTTTGGTGGTAATTGTTCCCATGACACAGAAACCCAGCTGGGTGCCCAGGGTCTTCCTGTTGTTTGCAAATATCTGAGAAGATTGCTTTACTCACCACAGGAAGAACACACTGACTCTGGAGGAGAGAAAGGGGTCACATAGTGATGACTGGAGAGGGGCCTGACCTCCACCTTAGCTTGTCACCAGCCTGGCGTCTGTTTTCTGGGACTGCTGCTGCTGCTGCTGCTAAGTCACTTCAGTGGTGTCTGACTCTGTGAGACCTCATAGACGGCAGCCCACTAGGCTCCTCCATCCCTGGGACTCTGCAGGCAAGAATCCTGGAGTGGGTTGCCATTTCCTTCTCCAATGCATGCATGCAGGCTATATCGCTTCAGTTGTGTCTGACCCTGTGCCATCCTATGGGCAGCAGCCCCCCAGGCTCCTCCGTCCACAGGCTTCTCCAGGCAAGAATACTGGAGTGGGTTGCCACTGCCTTCTGCAGGGACAGAGACCCAGAAGTGGGTGTCAGGAGGAGCTGAAGTTTGCAGGTGAGAAGGGAAAGGTTTCCTGTGTGTCCTGGGAAGAGAGGAAGCTGGTGCTGGGGGTTGGGCTGACTGTGGGCTCCCTGGTCCTCGGGTCAAGCTCCAGGAGACTCTCCCTCTCTGTGTCTGTTGCTTGAGACTTGGTTCAGAAACTGTTCAGGTCCTCCTTGCCATTATAGGGCCTCCTCTGTCACCCTGGCCGATTTTTCTGAGGTCACTGTGATCTTTCCCATGGGTGGTTCCAGGCAGGGATGGGAGCTGGCATGGGTGCCCACAGGCCCCTAGAAGGTTGGGCAGCATAGTGTGGGCACACAGGAGGGGCCCTGAGGGTCTGTTAGAGGAGGGGGTCCCCTGGGGTCTAACGCCTGATGATCCGACGTGGAGTTGATGTAATAATAATAGATACAAGTGCACAGTAGTTGTAATGCGCTTGAATTATCCCCAAATCATGCCCACCACTCCGCAACTGTCTTCCATGAATCCGTTCCCTGGTGCCCTTAAGGTTGGGGACCGCTGTTTAGAGGGAGGGATGGAAATCAAGCTCCTCCTCCACCTCCTTAGCCAAGGCAAAGTTCACCTGTTAATCTTCTGTGTGGCCCCATATCGCTCCCTGGAGGACATGAGCAGACCTGGGGACAATATTAGGGGCTGCACAGGGCTGCAAACGCCAAAGGGTGTGAGCCGGCTCTGCGCCCTGGGCAGAGGGGGGCGCTGACCTCCAGACTAGGGGCTCTCACCCAGGGTGCAGGTCACTGTGGGTCCTCAGACTTCCCGACTCCATCCCAGCACAGGGTGAGCCCAGGGAGAGGATGGGCGTTGTTCAGTGGCAGGAGAACCGTCCATCCAGGGGGACGTGTGCTCAAGAGGAGCTCTCAGTCCATGAGGTTTCAAAGCAAGGGTCGGTGGGGAGTCTCTGGGGTTTTGGGGCGAGGGTGGTGGCCTGTGGGCTGGACCCCAGAAGGCCTGTCCTTCCCCACCTCTCAGCACTGGGGCTGTGCCCTAGTTCTCTGTGTCCCCATCGGTGGTCTGCTCTCGGTCTCCCCACAGCGCCAGGACCTGGGGCAGTTCCACCTCCCCCACGGGACCCCAGTCCCCCTGAGATGGAGCAACTGCAGAAGCTGGGTTCCCCTGTGCCACGCTGCTCTGGAAGTTCCCTTCCTTTCCCAGGATGTTTTGGGGCACTGAGATGTCTCCAAGGACCACAGGTGTCCCCCCAGATCAGGGACCCTGGGATGAGGAGCTGCTCCCCAATTCCAGTGAGTTCATACTGGGGCTCCCCCTTCCCTGTGGTCATTTCCTCGGATGGAGGATCAGGATTGTGAGCCACGTCAGGTCTCCGAGAGAAGGAGAAGGAATAAAGTTGTCAGCCCAAGCCCTACAGGGAGACTAGAAGATTCTCCTGAGTAGAGATGGGAGTGGGTGTGATAATCTGGGAATGAGCAGAGGGTCTGCCTCCTCACAGATAAGAGGCCCGTGTCCTCACTCCTGACTCCGGGAGGAATAGAGTCCCGCCCTGGAGCAGCTGTGGGCACTTGCAGGTCTCCCCCCACTCTGATGCCAGGGCCCCTGTGTCCACAAGGGATATTCTCTGACCCCTCGGTGTCACACTGGGTAGGGGGTGGGGGTCTGGCTTCTGTTATGTAGATTCCCTTAACTATTTAAAGAGTATTTATTGAGCATGTGTGACATGTCAGCCCTGGGTTGTGTCCTGGACTCCAGACAATAGGATAGACTTGGGTCGTGGGTGAACACACTTGACTTGTGATGGGGAGGTAGACACCCAGAGAAAATCCTGGCAATAAGGAGCTAATTATAATGGAGGGATGGACTGAAGGCGAAGGGTCTGGTGCATCCGGAGTCTGTCATGGAATCTCAGCTGGACTGGGAATCATGGAAGGCACCCCTGAGAAAGTGAGCTTTTGCCTGAGATGTGAAGGGTGAGCAGACCCTCAGCAGAGAAGGACAGGGGCCTGAGAGGGCAGAGCTACCTGAGGGGAGTCTGGCCTTCAGGTGGGCCTGGCTGGGAGGAGGAGCTGACAGAGTCCAGTGTGGGGAACTGCGAGAGTGGGGAGGACCGTGGACGGAGTAGGTTGCTGAGGGTCAGAGGCTGCTGGGCGGTGGGAGCTGCGAAGGGGGAAGGAGGTGGGCAGCCCTGTGGAGGCGCCCGACTGTGGAGGAGCTCTGCCGCCCTCTGGTGGCCAAGGAGGGGAGTGTAGAAGGGAAAGGCCCTCAAGCAGGTTTTCTCCTAAGACAGCTCAAGAAAATTTGTCAAGTGTTTACATATCATTTTACAAACCCCAGGGACAGAGGATCCTGGCAGGCTACAGGCAGGAGGTCGCAAAGGATCAGACACGACCAAGTGACTAACCCTTTCAACACTACATGTTATTTATGCTCAATCATGTCCCACTCTGAATTTCCAACTCTCTCATCCA